GTGTCAGCCCTTTGAAGGTCGCCCATTTTGGCCCGTACTGCCTTCGCCCGCTGGCCCGTCTCTTCCTTTGTTCTCGTACCCTCAGGACGGGCCGAGTAATAACTCGTGTGCTGGGCCGTCCTAACATAAACCCACCGTCCTCGTTCAAGTGAACTGGTTTTTTGCCCTGACTTAGACCGTATTACATGCCTGCCTACCTGGGCCTATCTACACGTCAACCTAACCCTAACGGAGGCTCTAGCCCTGTCCACTGTGTTCGTTAGGGTGAGCATTCATTGCCGGGATAGGGGGGAGTCGCACCAGCATTCGCTGTCTATGAAACCGCCATATCTCTTGAATTTTTGTGGTTTTTTTTTACAGTTCCAACCTCATGGTCAGAAACCAACAGCCGGGATTGTCCTGCTGCCAGAAATTCGCCCATTGCACTATCTGCGAGGAAATTTGTTTACGACTGCGCCAACTTATCCACACCGTGCTTAAGTTTGAACCGTGTGAACTTAAACATCCAATTTTATCCTTTTAGCTACTGAAGACCTGCGAAGAACTCCGTTCCCACCTCGTAATGCTTCCCGATGAGGCTACCTACAATAATTTCTTGGAGTCTTCTGTGTACCAACTTACCAGTCTCAACGGAAGCCTTATTAACGTTAACTTTACGGTAAGCATGATTATCTTTCACTGCTTAGTACTTGGATGATTGCTCCTTAAACTGGGAACCATATCTTGTATGCCGTTACTGGCATCATCAGAATAGAAGTATGCGTCTAGAGGGAAGAGTGAGAGAGATGCACTTTATTTTGAAAAAATCATTCCAAAATTTTCAGCGAAAATGTCCTCTATTCCCCATGAATAGAATGAGGCACAGAAACCACACAACACTGGGGAAGTACGAGCAATGCGCACTGGCCAAAGATCGTGGAGAAGGGTCCTTGAATATTTCGCAAGATGTAGGCCAAATTGAACTTCTTTAAAATCTGCGCTAGCGTTCTATGCTGATGACCTCACTGTCGTAGTTTAAATAATCAATGAGGGATAAAAATCGGTTTTTAATCGGCGTACTGGGCCAACAAATGTATATATAAGAATATGTACATGCGCATGGCGGCTCAATCTCAAAAAATGAGCGAGCCAAGTGCGGTGCAAATGTCTTGCAGTATAAATCCAATTCATGCATGAGTCCAGACTGAGCTCTCAGTACAGTGGACGACCAACCGAGGTTGCTATTGTTGGCTTAGTCAACTCCAGTCCA